CGTTCGGGGTAAATTTTGAATTGAGGTTTACTTTTTCGGCATTGACACGCTTGGGATACAGCGTAACAGGATATAACATAATAATACAGCCGACCACTTTGGTCATGAACTAAAATTTTCAGATATAATATTTGTCTTTATGAGAGTGTTTCCTTGCTCCGGAATTTCTACATAGCGAGCTGGATGCCGCTTTACTTCTTTCTATACATAAAGACGTATGGGGGAGTGGATGTATAGATCCACGTATTCTTGACTTCGGCACTAGTTCCCTGCGGGAAAAGAGCCCATGTGCTCATTGGATGGGCCCCCGAACCTATCTCGGTTACGTGTTGAGAAGAAAATCTTACTTGCTACCGGGGCTCGATCTCCGACCTCTCGGCCGCCCAGTCCGTAGCGAGTCGCTATACCGACTGAGCTATCCCGGCTTCTGAAGTTAAGCACAGAAACTGACCTGTATAATGCGAGTGTAAAGACATACACCTGCAGACTGTTGCTTAGTAGTGAAATTATAAGTAATGTCTGGCAATATGAATGATAAATTTATTATTTATGTATTTCAGGGCGCTGACAATAACTTAGAATATATAGCGTGTAATGGCTGGATGATAGTGAATAATGGATTGGGTGGGGTATGGAAGGTAGTGGTCGTGACGTAATTTAAGGTCTTATCTCGACATTTGCCTGAAGGGACAAAAATTACGAAAGAATCTGAGGATAGTTTGTGTCACAGTCGAGTTTCGAACTGGGCATATCCTGAACAGAAGTCGGAAGCCAGCTTGTTCATTCGGTGCCATTTTGCTGTCTGATGCGGTTGTCGCACACTCGAGAATTGACGCATTTGTAACCGACAGAAATTTATCTTAAGATCAGAAGTCTTGTAGTTCTGCAGTTATCTTCAATAGGACAGGTAGTAGAATTCCGATCAAAGGGCAGTTTCTGTCAAAATGAAAACCACTGATACGGAACGATCGTTATGGTCTGAAAGTACCTACAGCAGAGATATCCCGTGGCTTTGTTTCGATGAGTTCAGTTTGGGCAATTCACGTTAGTCGGTTGGCTATAAATGAAATTAAAAATGTAACCAATCAACTCCTTTTTTTTTTTCAACAAACCCAGCCCCATTTTAGCTAGAAATCATATTGATATATTTATTTGATTAATAATTCGAGTGTCTGTCAGCATCATATAACTGGTTGCGTGGCGTACACTTGTAGCCCCATCGTAATGACAAACAGCTGGCTGGGAACACTAGATACATGAATTTTGCAGAAATTGTTTCCGTTTCCTGGTTCCAGAGGCACTGTTCCTTTTTTTTTAAAAAAAAAAAAGAATTATAGTGTAACATTCTATACCATGTAAAATCATTAAAAACGCGTTCATGTTGGAGCACAATCAACAAAAAGTTTCAAAACCAAAAATAACACAATTTCAGATCCTTAATAGAACTTAATATGCAGCTAGGGGAATGTTTATGAGCCGTGAAACAGCGTAGTAAGTTTACTCATTTTCATAATTTTCCTAAGCATATTATAGACCTGTATTTCATAAGCGGTCTCGAGGAGCACGAATCATTGGAAACAGCTCCAACTCAGCAAATTATCAGCTAAAATGTCGCCCCATTCCATTCCATTAACTTGAAGAATACACTGCTCCACACAAGGCTGTGCTAATATGAAACACAAAATGTTCCACCAAACACCAGGAAATTGCTATTTATAACGTCGCGCCCAATTAAGGGTAATAAAACAGATCCTGGCGGATTCTTAGCGGTACATCGAGGGTGATTTATTATCTAAGCACAGTAGACCCTCGTTAATCAAGATTAGTTTGGGGGGGGGTATCCAGTTTAAGCGATAATCCAGATTAGTGAAGCAAAAGATAGCACCAAAAGACAAAAAAAAAATTAGAAACCAGATAAATGGGACATTTAATAATATAGGTAGTGATGATTAAAAAAACGTAGAAAATATCACTGCAGCAATTTCTTGCTCTGTCAGAAGCTGAAATCCTGGGTCTCCTTCACCCAGCTGAAGCCAATCTTGGATATTTCCTTGCGCGGTTTCAGTCTCTCCAGCTGCCCTCAACACAGTCTGAAAGTCTTCTTGCTCCGAAATCCCATGTCTCTTTTGAAGTATGTACTCAACTGTGAACAGGATTTTTCACATTTCCATCCGGATTTGCGAAGGTTTACTGTAACTGGATCGTATTTTGTAAGCTGAGCGGTCATGATTGAGGGTGGCAGTGATCTGATTTATATTTCCAAATTGTCACGCGTGGTTATTCCCGAAATCTCAACACAATGCGTACGAAGTTTATAATACTCGTAGGTCTTAGTAAATTGGAATAGAGGATATTATGCATTAAGTTTATCCGCTTAGACGAGATTTCAAGAAAACAATAACGCCGGACTTCTGAAATGGTGGTAAGCTTGAGCTGGCCAGAGTTTATTTAAATGCCCGCTGCTGGTGCGCATTTAAATGTCCGTTCCTGTTAGGGCGCTTAATGTAGAAGAGGCCTCCAACCCTAATACATCTGCATTTGTCACAAACGGGACGACTTACCTTGCCCAACCTGTTGCCGCAGACAGAGTGACGTGCAACCGTAATCACCGAACATGTCGGAACACGTGATCTACAGAGCACTGGTGCACAGCGGTGGGGGGAAAGGGGTGCAGTTCAAAACCGCAGGAACAAGAAATGAGCAGGAAAATTTGACGTCATATCCAACCTTCCTTCCTGTATTCCACGAACGTTCCATGAAGGACAATTACGTTAGGTTCGCCAAATAGTAACTTCCTATTACGGCTAGAACATCGATCTTGAAAATCTTAATATTATGGGCATCGTGTGGTCTCGTAGCTGTGCATGTACATTTTGGAGGTACATATTCCCACCATATACAGGGTATAACGGAGACATGTGTTTATCCGAAACAATACACATCTACCAGGCGCTACTGTGCCATTGCTTAGGCCACAATCTAGTTCTTCATTACCACGAAAACCTAAAAACTGCAGTAACTGACTTATGATAATTTATGGTTTAGAAACTAGATTATTCTTTATAAATTAATGTTGTATTTTATGTCATACTGCTTGTTCTCTACTTCAGCCTTGCAGTCCAAAGCAAGAAATTCTACATATCTGTACAGCTGCCAGTATGGGCACCCTGCGTGGTCCATCGACTATCGTGACAAAGGTTATTCGTGGTTTTCCTCAACCCCTCAAAGCTAATGCCTATATAGTACGTCTCTCAGGCCGCAATTGCTTCCTTCCAGATCCTTTCCA